GGAGCTGAGGACATTAGAAAACAACAAATGTGTGGGGAAACTGCTAAATGAGTCTCAATATTCCTGCCAAGCCGATTTCCTAGGCTCTACTAGAAGACAGGCAGGTTCCAGGAAGCCAAGAAATCCTACATATGAAAGGTATCAATTCTAGAGACCTCTGCAACTCATCCTCTGATTGTCAAGCATTTCCAGAGATTCTCTTTTACTTCACCTAGTTATTATTATTGTTATTATCACTGTACCTTACTGTAGGCACTATACTAAGAATTTGAATTTATTTTATGTAATTTTCCCTATAGCCCTGTGAGTTCACCATCATTATTGTATCTTTTAAGGATGAAAAAAAAAGAGAATCAAAGAAGTTAAAACGTTGCCCAAAGTTACAGAGAGCTGGTATTTGGTAGAATTGATACTCTTGAGCCCCTGTAGCTCAAGAATGTATGTTCTTTAGCCAGGCGCCAATGGCTCACACTTATAATCTTAGCTACTCAGGAGACAGATTTGAGGATCATGATTCAAAGCCAGCTTGGGAAGGAGAGTCAGTGAGACTCTTATCTCTAATTAACTACTAACAAATAGTCAGACATGAAGCTGTAGGTCAAGTGGTAAAGCACTTGCATTGAGCAAAATACACTGAGGCACAGCACATAGGCACTGAGTTCAAGTTCCAGGGATGATGCACACACAAAAGGAATTTGTTTTCATCTGGACTCACCAGTGAGTCCTAATTATCTTGAAGGCCTACTGAAGTCTAGCTAAAATCCTGCATGCTTTAGTGGAGAGAAGATGGCTACTTTTAGGAATCCAAGGAATAACCAGACTCCCCAATAAGGCTTTTCTAGAGAGATCCTGCTCAACTGCAGCCTCTGCCAATCTTCTTCAGGTCGCTGCTTTACAGAAGAAACAAAAATGTTTTCTGTGGCTTGAATTCAGGACCTCATTCTTTTGCTTGGCTTTTTCACTCATTGCTGATATTCTATCACTTGAGCCATGCCTCAAGTGTAGCCTTTTTCCTGGTTAATTGGAAACAAGAATCTTTTGAATTTTTTTTCTGCCTAGGCTGGCTTTGAACCTCAACCATCAGTTCTCAGCCTCCTGAGTAGCTAAGATTGCAAGCATGAGCCACCAGTGCCTGCCTGAAGAATACAAATATTAGACACTTTCTTAAGTAGCTAGGATTATGGTAGGCACAAGCAATGGGTGCCTGACTTACCTTTTGAAGAAATTTCAGGACACTTAAATAACTCCTGCTGAAGGATAGAGTCCTTTTGGCTTATAAATTAGGGTCAGTGACTCACCCTAAAGCCAACCTCTCAGAAGTCTCTTGGGTTAAAGAATTAGAACCGACCCTCTTCCAGCTGGGCTGCAGTGCTAGAGCCATGGTAGAGAGAACATCCTGATGAGGGTTTTGTTTCTCTTTCTAAAAGTTTCTGCTGTGGGCAGGCAGGATAGGCTGCAGGAAGCTGCTGCCACTGTAACTTTGAAATCCTTCCAAGAACTGCTGGATACAGCTTGTGGAAATAATTGCAGTGCTTTAGAAATTTTGAAGGATTTTAAAGGATAACCCAAGGAGCAGGTAAAACCCTTTTTGGAGGATCCTCCTGGGGAATCACTTCTTAAACTTTCTGGTTTTGGACTAATTGTGCTTAAAAAATGAATAAATTCTTTTTTCCTCTGAGGCTGTGGTGCCCACAGCCTCGAAGAACAAAACCAGGATGCAGGATACATCAGCCCCTCAGGGTCAACAGCGCAGCAGCAGATCTTAGAGACTGGCTTCAGCCCTGGAGCCCAGAGCACAAAACAATGCCATGGTTTCAAAAAGAAAATCTCACAGTGGAGTTCCTTAGGCTAGATTAGCTGGAGGGTGGGGCCTCCTCGCCACAACCCAGAGTTGCAGGGAGGGTCCTACTTAGTGATGGGAAGATGTCTGTTCTCTTCCTGGACCAGGATGTAGGTTGTCACATGGGCCAAGGTTGGTGGGAAAATAAGCTGCCCAGGCTTTATCTAGGGCTTAGTTGAGGTGAGGAAAGAAGAAGGAAAAAAAGGTCTCTCTCAGTAAGGTATTTGCTCCATGTTCCAGCAACATGATTTTTGTTTAGCTGTAGTGAATAGCTCTCAGCAGGGAGAACTGAGGTTTCCCGTTCTTCATTTTGGCTGCTGGCCCACTTTCCCAAGGAAGGTACCTTAGCCTCAAGGTTAGACCTCTGCTCCATAGCATCCCAGCTTCCAGTTGAGTTGTTGCAGCTCCAAGTGACACCTGAAAACAACCAGTACCTTGGCCTGGTTTCTTTGAGAGGTGCAACAAACATTATTATTGGTATTATTATTGGTATTTATTGAAGGGCTGCAATTACATCTCTGAAAAGACTACCAAGACTATGGCTTTGAAAAGAAGAGGTGTGAGCAGCCTCCAGAGCCAGTCCCTTCATGGGCAGCTATAGCCCTCAGTATTTGTAGCGGGGGTAGCCAGGCTTTGTGTGCATGGAAGCTTGTATTCTGGGTTAAATGGCTTTCTGAGTTTCTTCTTTTCCCAATAGGGAGCAAGGTTATACCTCTTCCGCATTCATCTGTGCCTCAAGAAGGGTTTCTGGGAGCCCCGCCTCGCCCCCTGCTCAGTCTCAGGGTAGTCTGTATCAGAATAGACCAACATTTCAGAGACACAGGCAGAAGAGGTGTACAGGAATCATGAATGGTAAATGGAGCCATAGAAGCTTGTGAACCTGTGTTCAGGACTTCAGTGTCACCGGCTACCTGAGACCAATGGGGCCAATCTGAGTGGCTTCTGGACTCAACTTCTCTCCCTCAATCCATCTTGAAGGACTTTTCAAAAAAGACTTTGAGTAGAGTAGGTAAGGAATTCATGGTTACAAAGTGCAGCCACACGAAAGGACATAGCAGGACTAGGCTTTCCTCCCACTGCAGTCCCCAGCCCTTTCCCTAGAAGCAGTTACTCTTACCAAGCTACGGGCACCCTTCCAGAAATAGCAGAGATTTCTCTTGGGCACATTGTTCTTTTTTTCCTTCTGGATTATGCTGAATCTTAACACTAATGACTCCTTTTATCTGATCTCATGTTAAAGCATACATAAAATAGAGAAAATAGTACAACAAACCCCCGTAGTCACATCACCATGTTTCAATATATCAAAATTTGTTGAATTTTGTTATACTAACTAACCTTGTTGCTAAATTTTCTGGAAATAGAATACAGGAAAATTTGTCTTGAACCTCACCTGTAAATATTTCTGTATGGCTTTCTGATAAATACCCTTTAAAAATAACCATGATGTTATGATCATACCTAATATACTAACTCCTTCCTTTTTGTTTTCTTTCTTTCCTTCCTTCCTTCTTTCTTTCTTCCTTCTTTTCTTTCTTTCTTCATCTCACTCTTTTTCTTTTTCATTCTTCTGTTCTTTTAGGGGGATTTATATTGTGCCAGTACTGGGGCTTGAACTCAGGGTTTCATGCTCTTAGTTTGCTTTTTCCACTCAAGGCTGGCACTCTACCACTTGAGCCATACCTCTGTTTTCCCCCACAATTCCTTAGTATCATTTGATCCCTACTGATTTCTACTTGTTTGGAATCCCACTGATCCTAAAAACTACATGAAACTTACCTCTGCCCTTGATTTTGAACTTGGACTATATAGCCTAAAACATATAGAATGTTGGAAACTCAGGCAACAGCAGCCTGAAGCCTTGTCTACTCCCATCCCCCAAGCTGTTCTTGCTTAGGAAAGAGGCTCTGTATTCATTCTTTCATAACAGAACAATAGTCCAAGCAAGTTCCAAGCAATAAGTCTGGAAAGCAGTATTCTCTAGAGAGGGTTCTGTTCTGTTCCTGCTAGGTAGCATCAAGAAAGCTGTATCCCATTAGTCACAGGAAAGAGAAAAACAAAATTGGTCCCCTGGAGTAGCAATCTATTATTTGACAACCAAAAACAGTAGTTCATTTCTGCTGGATTCAGAGACCATATCAAACATGTGACCTATCAGCCATAACAAACACCTATGCAGGGGTTACTGTGTAAAAATTTGGCAAGTTTTCATGGTAGAGGTTATGTGATCAATTACCTGGTCTACACTGCTCCTAGCTAGTTGGTGCTCCTCAGCACTCTTTTCCTGAGTTTATTCATTTGATTATTATTAGTTTCCAGGCTACTCTTTATCTTCAAGCTTTGAGCATCTATCTCTAATCAGTGCATATCCAGTTCACCAGTTGTCTCTGTCCATTCTTGCCCTGCTCCCTGAATCTCCAGAAGAAGCCACAGGAAACCCTCTACTCCCGTCATTCCCTGCCAGCTCAAAGTATGTGACATGTCTGGCTCTCAGCCCTTTGTTCTCTTGGCCAGAAAGGCATTGCCAAGCCAATCGGCATCATGTTGGCTGTGGAAAGTTCTAGCTACAAGTACACAGAGCTTAATACACTGCTTGCCTGCCTATCAGCCAGCCTCCTATTACCAGCACTAGAAAAGCTGTGAGAGGCAGCCACTGTTTTCACAAATTTGGTTTGTGAGTCTGTGATGACATTGTCTTGGGGAGGAGAAGCAAGCCTCAACTTTACAAGACCAAATGTTAGCCGGTGGCCCATGATTCTTACTGGCATATGCCTTCTTCTCTAACATCTTCTACATGAGCACAGAAGAGAAGACCACCAGATCAGGCACTCAAGCAGTTCTCTAGTTTGGGGGAAGAAATTCTTGGGCTTCTGGAATTTCAGAATGCAGCTTCTACAGTGATAGAACGAGAATCCACTTTCTATGTGGCTTTCAAGACAGGTAATATAGGATCATAGAGGAAAACGTGGAGGTAAAATCCAAGTATTTTCCAGTTATTTTCAAGAAAGTTGCACAAGCAAATCTGTGATTAAGGAGGCCTAGATTCTCTGAGGTACTATCAGAACTGCATGAAGCAAACTGTTTACCCGTTTCAGACAATCCTGCTTTGTTCCTACAGGCACCCAAGGCCAGAAGCAGGGGGCAACCATGAAGGTTGGCAGTGCCCTCTTGAGGAATCCTTGAGTACTGCAGGAGCCAGGCTGGACAGGAGAATATTTTGCTCTGGTCATCCAGCAGAACCAATTACAGCAGAAACAGATACATAAGTGGGGGTGGGCAGAAAAAAGAGGCCTCCTGTGGGCCTAGTAAGAAACTTTACGAAGGATGTTAGAGAGGATTCAAGAGAAGGGTTTGAGGCAGAGTGTCAGAATGTACAGAGCCACTAGAAACACTAGATCCTAGGGAGCTGGGAAGCTTAAGATATTGGGATCTGGTAGAGCCTCTTTCAAAGCCCTGGGCATAAAAGCAATGTTAAGACAAGAAGATTTACTTAATTAAGGGGTCAGGAGAAAGAAAAAGGAAAAGAAGCAGAGGGAGAGACAGAGTCAGAGACAACAAAAAGGAGTCAGATAAAGGAACAGTAACAGGTTGAGACTTGGAGAGAAGATAAAATGAATGGTAAGACAATGGAAATGGAGGAAAGGATAGGGGAACATAGTTGATAAACTGACATTTGTAAGTTTATTGGGAAAACACTTTTTTCTGAGTATTGATTAGCCATTCCCAGAGCTGCTGCTGAGCATCCAAGGGGAAGACTTGTGAGAAGGCTAAGGCTGAGTGATATTCCCTGTACACCAAACTACCTCACTATTCCAGGTGTGAGGGATCATCTATCTTCATATCCCAAAGTTTGGGTTTGTTTCCTTCTGCCATCTGATGAACTGATGGCACAACATTTGGAAATCTGCTGCTCTTGGTCTTTCCCCTTCTCCAGGGCCATTCTGACAATCATCTTCCAGAAGTTTATTGCTGACCCAATCCTACAACTACTATGGCCTCAAGTCTGGTCTGCTCTGGACAACTACTACTACTACTGTTGTACAAGGGGCAGCATTACAAGGATCCTTTTACTTTGAGACTGGTTTAAGAGCAAGGGATCCAGAGCTCTAGGACTGAACAAGCTTCAAATACGACAACATTCAAATCTAGCGAGCTCCCCCATTTCCTATCAGCAGAGCTCAAGCCAGAAATATGTCCAAATTCACAACTTAAAGAGAAAATTTTAACACACAAACTTTGCTCTCTTCTCCCATAGGAAGATTGTAGGGTGGGCTCAGTATCTCCCCTTCTCCACTGTTACCCCAAGGAGTATCAGAGACATCAGGTACCTACTCTGCTATACTCCAGCTAGTTTCCTTATAGGCCATCCGTGAGCAGTTTCTGGCCTTTAAGAGAACTATGCTTATCTGAGGGTCCTGAAAGGAAAGTAAACACTAACAGGATATCCAGAGAGGCACTGGTTAAGGTTCATTTGTTCTAGAAAACCTTCCCTGGCTAGGCCAATCTGGTATTGGGCACTCAAATATCTTCACAATTTTTAGAAATCACTATTACCTATAGAGTGGGTTCATATATTACTCCACTGTTTTTTGTTTTGTTTTTGTTTTTTGCTGCTTGGCTATTTTTCTTAGTATTTCTTTCTCTGAGGCCAGGACTACACCCCCTCGCCCTGCTTCTTCCTAGCTGGCCTCAGCTTTGTGATGAGGACACCACACCCTCCAGATGGCATTTTCAGTACCGAGTTTTCAGACTGTGTTCTTGTCTTAAAGTTGATTTTGCTCTTTGGAAATAGCCTACCTTCTTGACCGGGCTTTTCATTAGCAACACACAGGTGTTGCCCTCTTCTAGCTTCTGTTAACCTATCCGTAAAATTATCCTAATTCTAACTTCTTTCAGTTTGCTCCCAATCTATTCATGGAAGCAACAGCTTGCATTCAGTTCTCATTCAGCTGGAAGCAAGACAGATTTGGAAGAAATTTTGTAAAGACAAATTTTTCTGCTCTATTGTGTTTCTAGAGCTGGGAGGGGGAGGAGTGCTTATTTGCTAAGGAAGAGGGGGAGGGGAAAGGTGGACACTGCCAAAGGCATCTGGGAGTGAGGGGTGGGCTTGGGGAAGATTTGGAAGAACTCTTGGAGCTAACATGGAGGGTTTTGACTTTAGCCTCCTCACCAGGGATACCACTCCAATAGCTTCCCATCCTTGGGCTGTCACACCCCACACCAAATACACCCAAGGATCAGTTGGAGGCTTCCAGGAGCTCTCCATTTTATCTCTACCCACCACCCCCATCCACATTTCTGGATGACTTTGTAACAAAGCAAAATTCCAGAGAAGCCTTGGGGGGGAAAAGAAAAGAAAAAGAAAACGAAATATTTGCCACTGAAAGGCAGAAAAAGAAGATGGAACCCTTAAAGAAGGGAGTATCCCCAGGAGGTGGGGACAAGGGGAGGAGAAGGGGAGGAGGATAGGAGGAGGAAAGACAGCCTGTCCCTTTAAGGGGGTTGGCTGTCAATCAGAAAGCCCTTTTCATTGCAGGAGAAGAGGACAAAGATACTCAGAGAGAAAAAGTAAAGGACCGAAGAAGGAGACTGGAGAGACCAGAATCCTTCCAGCTGAACAAAGTCAGCCACAAAGCAGACTAGCCAGCCGACTACAACTGGACTCAGACCCAAAGACATGGGTAAGTTTCACAAACTTTAGCATCCGAGACTCAGGCAGGCACAGGAATTCACAAGAGAATTTCAAACTTTGTGATTTGGGATTTCTAATTATTTAAGTTGTGTTTGGGTACTTGTTTTCTTCTAATTCCTTAGCATTCAATTAGATTATCTTTCTGCTGTTGTGAGCATGGTGTAGCAGCACGTGGAGTCGTACAGATCCTTGAGAGAGTAGCCAGCAGGATGGATGTAATCGTCCTTCTACCTCCTTGCTTCCCTTCTCTCTCCTCTTTTTCCCCTTATTCTAAGGCCCTTGTCATGGCCAGGTCAATTGGCACACCTGATTTTACTGAAGGGAACTAAATAGTGGCTAACCCTCAAATGTACCAAACAACTGCTTGCTTGAAATAAAGTTTGCATCAGTAGGAACTTGGGGAATAGGACAAGGTGGACTTAGGTTTGACCATGTCTATAGAGGCCATTCTCAGGTTCAGGAAATGAAGGACTGCAATGGCTTTACAAATATGGGTAAGGGTGTGTGTGTGTGTGTGTGTGTGTGTGTGTGTGTGTGTGTGTGCATGTGTAAACACCTATACAGGTGACCATTTCAAGTCAATATGACCTGAATCTCTGTCATGACAAAGGAGGCTGCTGGGACTTAAGGACTCTTGCTGAGTTGAGAAGTGAGAGTTTCTCTATGTTCTATGAACAAAAGGAGAAACTATGAGGTTTTAGTGTCTGATAGTGTGTATGAAGAACAAAGTGCATAGAGCAAAAGGCTCTTCGTTCATACAGGACACGGCAGGGACATATACACATTGAATTACTTGACAAAACAAGGGTAGTAACTGGAAGGAATCCTGAGTGAAATGAGCCTCAATTGCCCACTGTGTTCACCATCAAATGTACTGTCCAGTAGACTCCAATAAGATTCACAGAGGTAAGGTTTATTATTATTATTATATGGGACTAGTATCACCCTTCAGGTTGTTTCATCCTCAATCACTGAGAAAGCTGTTTGAAGCACATATTCAGGTATGATAGTTAAAGGGACAGAACACTGGACTAGGAATCAGAACAACCTGGTCCAAATCCCAGATCTGCCTCCAGTGAACTCTGCAATCTTTGTCAGGTCACCATGAATGACCACTTAATCATCTGGAAAACAGGAGTAGCAATGATTGTTTTGTCTGCTTTCAGGGTTGAGGATCAAGTAATGATATGGAAGCCCTTTGAAAATGATCAATCTCCATAACAATTTGTAGCCCCTGATAATAGCAATTGCCATACAATAACACCTGCACAAGATGGCTCTTACTTTTTCTGAGGCAGTTAGATTTTCTTTAGGCATACTTTGTGTGTTTGTATAAGAGTCATTTGCCCAATTAAGTGTGGCCTGGTGACAGGTGAATGTAGGACGGACTCAGTCTCTGCCCTAGGTAACATCAGGATTCTATGTCAGCAACACTGACATAGGTTGCACAGGGAGTAAAGAAAGCTGTTGACTTTTCCTTCCTCAGGAGATGAAAGCTCTAAGAAAAGGTAAGAAGAACAAATAAAGTGATTATACAGACAGGTTCTTCTTTTTTTTTTTTTTTTTTGGTCGGGTGTAGGACTTGAACTCTGGGCTTAAGCGCTGTCCTTGAGCTCTTCAGCTCAAGGCGAGTGCTCTACCACTTGAGCCATAGGCCACTTCCGGTTTTCTAGTGGTTTATTGGGATAAGAGTCTCACGGACTTTCCTGCCCAGGCTGGCTTTGAACTGAGATTCTCACATCTCAGCCTCCTAAGTAGCTAGGATTACAAGCGTGAGCCACCAATGCCCGGAGGTTGGTTGATGTCCTCCAAAAATGATTGGCACAGATTAAGTCAATGTTAAGAACAGGTATTGGAATAGGCTTATACTTGAACTGGGTGCATCTGATGGAGTAATTGAGTTTTCATTCAATTATAGCTATCTCAAATACTTAATAACTTATAAACAAGCCCTAATAAGATACTAAACTGCCATTGCTTCTGAAGGAGTATGTGTTGCAGCTTATTTCAGTAGTAGAATAACATAGTAGAATATGGTATTGGAAGAGAAATTTAGAAAATAGCTGAGTTAGAGTCAGGCATAGTCATGCATGCTTGTAATCCAGCACTTGGGAGGCTGAGGCAGGAGGATCATGATTTTGAAGCCAGCCTGGGCTATATAAAAAGTTATGTGAACTAAATTGCATTGTAGAATTCATTTCTATATCAACAACTTAAACATTCCTAAGTGTCTGCTTAATCACATTCAGGAACAGGAGAGCTCACTACCTGAACCATACAGAATTCTTTAGGACTGAAGGTGGAGAACAGCATAGGATGTAGTGGCACCTATACAAAAGGTTTGAGCATGAAGTAATAGCTTATTAAACTTTGTCCAGGCTTGGAAAGGAGATATTCTAAATGAGTTTTTGATATTACAGTGGAACCAGAAGGAAGTCAAAGAGCCCTCGTTGATTATTCTCTGCTCAATAACACAATGTCATCCTGAACAGCAGAACATTAGCTTTCAAGAGCATGTTTTTTTTTTTTTCTGAGAACAGTGGCTGTTACCATAGTAACCAGACTGGGATGCTTCCCTTCAGAAATGGCTGCTGAGCAGTGTGGTTTTGGCTAGCTTGGAATAAGTAAATGTAGCTCAGGCAAAAGACTGTGATGGCAGAGCAGAGGTACAATTTTACCAAATACCTAAAGACAAGATGAAACCCATCCAGGGGGCAAGAATGCCATCTAAATACCAGAAGTTAAAAAGAAACCAGATCTGGACTTACTCTAGAATGCTGACCTACTCTTCCTAGGGACATTGATTAAAATGATCAAGGACAGCCTTCACTTCACATCTCACTTTGGCCCTGCAGTCAGGGGAGCTCATGGAAGTCAGAAAGATTGAGTGGTTTGCCCTACTTTATGGGACTTTCACTTTGGTTCTAAGCTTGAAAAGCCACAAGTCTACTCAACACCTTGACAATAGAAATGCTTTCTCAGAGCTGAGTAGAACTACTTCCAAGCCTGGGAGGTCGATGAGAGTGGTTATAGTCTCAAAACCTCATAAGGTTGGATCCCAACCAGTGGCATCTTTTCCCCTGTTGCCATTTTGTATGTCATTTTGAAGCCCTGAGAACCATCCTTTGGAAAAAATGGTTTGTTTTGAAAGAAAACAACATGGAAATTCCCTCACTGACCACAGAATTCCAGGTTTAGAAGATCAAATGGGAACAATAACATGATCAGTTGTGATCAGCCACAGTAGGTGAATAAGTTTATTCCCCTACTTTCCCTTCCCACTCAAAGGCCCTTACCCAGTGCCAAACTTAAAAGTTCAGCTAGTACTGATTGAAGAGTCCTTCCTTGGCTATCTCTAATTCTTCATTGGTTTCTGAACTCTCAGCCCTGCAGAGCTCCAGAAAAGAATCAGTGGGTGGTGGTGGTTCACAGCTGTAATCCTAGCTACTCAGAAGGCTGAGATCTGAGGATCACAGTTCAAAGCCAGCCTGGCAGCAAAGTCCAAACATGAAACTATTATCTCCAATTAACCATCAAAGAGCTGGGAATGGAGTTGTAGCTCAAGTGGTAGAGTGCTAACCTTAAGCAAAAAGCTCAGGGACAGTGCCCAGGCCCAGAGTTCAAGCCCTAGGACATGCACCAAAATTTTTTTTAAAAATCCAGGATATCCCAAGTAAGAGAATAAGTTTCTCTAGACCAGTAACAAGAGAGAAGCAAATGGTGACAGTCTAGCCTAGGGAATAAGGTATACTGTTGTCTCTAGTGCCAGGCACTTCTTGGTCTTCCCATAATTGGGTAAAGAGGAAGCAATGGATCAGGGATAGATTTTAACAATGAATCTTGTATCTTACCTGCTAATCTTAGTTGTAAAATTGTTTTTTTTTGTGTGTGTGTGTGTGTACACAAGTACAGAGAATCAGGTGATCCAGATATTGTTATATGTTATTAATACCTATCTAAAAAGGAGACTGGAGTTCCTTTTTATTTAACCTAGTCCACTTGATTTGACTACTCAGCACAAATTTCTTGGCCCCAGTGCCTGTAGGGTCCTTTTTAGCACTTCAATGTGGTACTAGTACTAATAAAAATATGGTTAGAGATGTATCTGCCTGGTTAAGTCCAGAAACAAAAGTCTTTGTCACCTCCTGATTGGTTTACTTCTAGAACCCACCCACTGCTCACTATCCATCCTTAGTACCAGTCACGACTGCTGTAGTATCTTGGCCCTGTCAACTGCTATAGGCCCTGATCAAGGAAGCCTCTGTTCATGGGGTGAGGTTAAGGGGTGGGTTCTGGGAGGAGGGTAAGACTGTAGTACAGATTAGAGACTTAGGGAGATCAAGCCAGTTTTTCACTCAATGAGCCTGCCTGTTGTTTAGCTCTATTGTATAGGGTTCTTCTATCTCTCCCTTTGTCAGCTGGACTCAAGGGACAAGCTGGGAATTGTGCAGGGTACAATTGGTCTCTATCTACCATTCCATTTGATGAAAGCCCTTCCTCTCCTCCCTTTGATGAGTTCCCAGATTCACACTGAATTTCCATCTCATGGAGCTGGTCCTTAAGGCATGCCCAGGGCATGGGAAAAGAGGGAGGGCTTAGGAACTCTTAGATCCTGCCTAAAGAGACAGCATTAGGATCACTACAGGTTACTAAGATGGGCCTGGATGTAAGAGTCACAGTACTCAATTGATCAATCAGAACATTGGTAGGAAGGTCTTGAAACTCTATTAGAAACTCTATAAGATTTGTTTTGGAAGTTTGCAGATGAATGTAGCCAACTCTGGACTTTCTTCCCTTTTCTTGTATGTTGTCAATAGACTTAGTTATGTCCATTTTAACATTTGATAATAGACAGTTTGGGGTTTTGATTCACAGTCATAAATTGGTTCTTCCAAACAAGATAGCAAGTTCATTGAAAAAGAGATTCGACTTTCTAATTCCCTTCTGCCTCTCATAGTATCTGAGTTACTGCTAATACACCTAATGTTTGTTCTGAATCCATGTAAACACAAATGGAAAGCCAACACTGGGGAGGAGAAGACCATTGTTTTTCTCTATGATCACTCACCAAAATGAGGAAATTTAATCCAATTGAAATACATTGGGTAATATTTTACTATAGAATTCTTTTCAAAGTTTTTTTTTTTTTTTTTTGGTCCAGTCGTGGGGCCTGAACTCTGGACCTGGGCGCTGTCCCTCAGCTCTTCAGCTCAAGGCTAGCACTCTACCACTTGAGCCACAGTGCCACTTCTTTTTCTTTTTTCTTATGTGGTGCTGAGGAATCGAACCCAGGGCCTCATGCATGCAAGGCAAGCACTCTACCACTGAGCCACCTTCCCAGCTACTATAGAATTCTTTTATGTCAACTTTACATTGTCACAATTTGTACTTGGCTTTACTTAGCCTTTGCCTTACTCCAGCACGCACCTTTTCAGTCATGAGGGGCTCTAAAATAGAGTGCATGTGTTTTTTGGCTATTGCTCACACATCCCTAAGTTCATACCTTGGGTGGTGCAAATTCAAAGACAGTACAGATGGACTTTTCAGAATGCTTCGATAGTCAGCTACTTTGATGAAAAGACAATTTCTTATCTGTTCTGAGTTTTCTTTCTCAGTTGGAGTTCAAAATTTCATTTTTACTTGGGAAGAATGACTGAGATTCTTCATTGTGCTAAATTGCAATGCCCTCGGAAGACATATTCGTTCCCAGTTGTGAAGAGATGAACATCTGATCTGTTGATATTGTTGAACTGTTTATAGTTTGGCAGTACGGGATTGAGCTATTGAGCCAATTCTTTCAGCTTCTAATATTAGAGATTCATTAAAACTTAAGTCCTTCTTTCTTTGAGTAGTGGTGGAACAGAAAAGGGGGTGCTAAGTTATCTGAATGCTTAGGAAAATGAATGGAAAAGAAAATGTCAGAAATTTATGTCATCAATCTCAATTAAAAATTATTTTTAAAAAGAAAATGTCAGGGCTGGGAATGTGGCTTAGTGGTAGAGTGCTTGCCTAGTATTCATGGAAAGCCAACACATAAACAAAAAAATCTGGAAGTGGCCTGTGGCTCAAGTAATAGAGTGCTAGCCTTGAGCAAAAGAAGCTCAAGGGCAGTGCCCAGGCCTTGAGTTCAATCCCCAGGACTGGCAAAAAAAAATTAAAAGAAAAAGAAAATTTCAATGATTCGGAGTTGCTCCAAAGGCGTCACTATTTTTTCACTCATACTACATATGACTTTTTGTGATTATTTGGATGATCATCAAGTAATCACATACCAAATCATTTGTCTAGGATGATAAAATCATTCGATCACTTGATGATGATGAGAAAAAAAACTGTCAGTATGTATATATAGGGGACATCAGCTAAAACTTCAAATGGAATTCTCCATTTGGCTAGCAAGAGTTCAATTTTCTCCATTCCTGATTACACCTGCATCACCATTTAGCCCTTCCAAGGGTGAAAAGGCTGGGGTGACTGAGTGGGCCCAGAAGGGCCACTTGCTAGGGTAGATGACTCTCCTCACCCTAGGCTAAACAAACAATCCTGTTATTGTTCCCTAGTCTGACCCCCTCCCTACCCCCAGACCTCAAGCCCCTGCAGAATACTAATAAGGCTCCTGAGATCTCAGGGGAAAACAAGGCTTCTTTGTTTGAGGGAGCTAGGGAGGACTCTGTCCAAGCCCTGACCTTGTGCTGGGGAGAGAGGGAACAGTGAGGTCAATGACCTCCCCCTCTCCCACCTCCAGGCTTCAGAAACCTCTTTACTACAAGAGTATCAGAGTTTGAGGGAATAGAGACGAATGGGAAGGGCAATGAAAGAAAACAGCAGTGCTGTTTACTTCCCTTCTTTTAACTTACAGGATGCTTCTAGTATCTTCACCTGTTGGGAGAGATCAGTTTTTAAAATGTTTCCCACAAACTGCAGCTCATTTCAGCTGTCATACTTTTCTCTCTGGTGTACACATGTGGATATCTATATTTGCGTGTGCATGCATACCAAAGGCCAGCCACAGTAAAGTACTCTCATTAAGCATGCTTACAAAGTCCTGCTGAGTGAATTCAACCTCCACTCACAGCAGCACAGCTACTAACGGTTTGCTTCTAATGGAGGCCAAGTTTTCTGTCAGCAATGCTTTATACTTGGCTAAGCTTCATCTCTGGCATAATGTACAATATCTTTGAAGGAGAGCCTCTTTGAAGCCTAGAAAAGGGCTGTCATTTCAAGGGATGGGGAATAATGAATCACCCTCGTTTTGTGGTTCTGATAAGAGGAACAAATGCCTCTACCTCAACTTTCCCATGGTAGAGATAATTTAGTTCTTCAAATCTGTTCACATGGATGCAATTTGGTACCATGTAAATCATAAAATGATCAAGCATTTGGGACTAAAATGAAACTCTGCTGATATTAAGAAGAAGAGGCAATGGCTATTTCCTCTGGTGCCTTGTTGTAGACAAATGAGTGTGGCTGGAAGAAATGCCTGAATATAGAAAAATCAAAACCCAATGAGTATAATTTATTTTCATCCTATAAGATGTCATAATATGCTTATTCAAAGCTAATTCTTTCCCAGTATATCTGCTGATTGTTTGCATTGTATTCATGAATGCTACATGAATAAATATAAAATAGTTTATATATAATTTATATACACATAATTTATATACCCATGTGCATAAATATACATTGTATACTTCACATGCTAGCTGATATTGTATAGATACACACATTCATATATAAATTCAGAATGTTTGTGTAAAGAGCTTGATTTTTTTGTTGTTGTTGTTGGTCATGAGGCCTGAACTCTGGGCCTGGGCACTGTCCCTCAGCTCTTCAGCTCAAGGCTACCACTCTACCACTTGAGCCACAGCACCACTTCAGGTTTTTATATGTGATGCTGAGGAATCGAACCCATGGCCTCATGCATGCAAGGCAAGTACTCTACCACTGAGCCACCTTCCCAGCCCCAGAGCTTGATATTTTTATTTTTCCACTTTTTACAGATTTGGACAAGAGACTATAGAGGGAGATTTTATAGTCACCTATTTGGCATTTGACAAATTTCATTGATACCTTAGAAAATGGGACTAGTACTTGGATCATAGCTGCTTCCAAAGCCTATGAGTTCTTGTGGGCCTTTCCTGATACTCAGAAATACTGGCATGGGGCTGTAGGCTACCAGGTCTGGGGAACTCAGGGACTCTTAGCACTTAAACACACCTACGTTGTCAGGCTCTGGTATGTTTCATTGTGAAGGCAAGACAAACCCATGATTGGATTACTAAGGTACCTTTGTAGCTATAGTGATAGAATCTAGGACCTCAGTGTAATTAAGAGTAGCAACACTGACCACGCTGCAGTATGAAGACAGGGAAAGAATTAAAACAAGTTGCCCCCAACTAGTGAAGCCAGTGTTTCAACTATTGTGTGTAATAATGACATTCCTGTTATCATTTCTTGTTCTATGCCAGTTTCCTTCTTGTCTTTGTACTATTCCACATATATTTAGACTAAGAAGAATTGAGCATTCCCTACAACAAATGAACACATGCTCCAGAATATCCAGGATAATACAGTTTCTTTCAATATTTGAGGTACTCTTTTAGGTCAAATCCTGTCAGATAATAGCAAAATGTCTGGTACATATTCACCTCTCCTGGAACTCCAAGTACATTTACTCTCTGGAACCATTTACTTAGCTGTTTGGAATTGTTCATTGAAAATAACACAACTACCTAGTTAATTCTTCCTCAGTAAACTGAAGAGACTCATATGGCAGTCTTTACCTGTTCTAAAAAAACCCAACACAATGCTGGGCACATTCATTCCCATAACTAGTTGATAAATAACTGAAATAAGTAAACAAACACTGAAACAGTAAGACAAGATGTGATTCCATCATCTCTCTGGCTTGCTACAGGAATTATTTAAAAACTACATACATGCTGGGAAATGAAGGTAAGGATTTATTTTCAAAAGGGGAACAGAGTAAGAATTCTTGAGTAGCCTCACATTCTAAATGCCAAAACCTATAATTCTCCTGATTTTGGACTCCAGGGTGACCACTCTCCCCATGCTTGGGAGCATAGTGCTATAAGTAGATGAAGTACCTGGTGTGCATTCCTGATTGTTTCCTTTCTTTCTTCTCCAGGCTTGTTAGAATGCTGTGCAAGATGTCTGGTAGGGGCCCCCTTTGCTTCCCTGGTGGCCACTGGATTGTGTTTCTTTGGTGTGGCACTGTTCTGTGGTTGTGGACATGAAGCACTCACTGGCACAGAAAAGCTAATTGAGACCTATTTCTCCAAAAACTACCAAGACTATGAGTATCTCATTAATGTGTAAGTACCTGCTCTCCCACACAAACATATCTCTTTTTTCCCCTCTTTCCATTCTGGAGGAACTCATCAGTACCTTCGTGAGCCAGCCTGAGCCTTCCAACTGTGTAGAAACTTCACCTGTGCCACATCAAAAGCCCCAAACAAGGAGATATGTCAGATTCCGATAGGGAGGTCTGCCTTCCTACCAGCCCTCTTCTACCCTTCCTTGTATTCTCACTGTCTCATTTCCGTTAGGTGTGGTTAAAGTTGCTTGTGTTGCCTCCACAAAATGGCAGGTATTGGGAACCCAGAGGAGGCACAAGGACAGGACAGAATGGAGTCACTACTCTTGGTTTGACATACTGCTTGTATACATATGCTCAGGGTTAGTGGGTTAGTACTGAGTCTCTCCAGCTTCTACAGCAAATCAGGTTACTATTCCATCTCTGGTCTAGCTCTTCTCTCCTGTGAGGGAGTATCTCTGATGGGTCAGGAAAGGAAGCTCTCTAGGTTGCACAGTAAGCAAGGGATAGGGGAGGAGCCTGTCCTTAGTTGCTCCCTGTCTTCATTTACATTAGTAAAAACAAGGTGAAAGCAACAAGAAGAAACATAGTGATTCATCTAAAGAACCTCCAGCCTTGGATGTTATGAAAGAAGAGCTGGGTCCTCAGTAAATAAGACTGTTCTCTTTTGTCTGTCTGTTACTGTAGGATCCATGCCTTCCAGTATGTCATCTATGGAACTGCCTCTTTCTTCTTCCTTTATGGAGCCCTCCTGTTGGCTGAGGGCTTCTACACCACCGGCGCAGTCAGGCAGATCTTTGGCGACTACAAGACCACCATCTGCGGCAAGGGCCTGAGTGCAACGGTAACAGGGGGCCAGAAGGGGAGGGGTTCCAGAGGCCAACATCAAGCTCATTCTTTGGAGCGGGTGTGTCATTGTTTGGGAAAATGGCTAGGACATCCCGACAAGGTGATCATCCTCAGGATTTTGTGACAATAACAAGGGGCGGGGGATAATTGGGCGTGAGTCTGTGGCCTCGTCCCCACTCAAGGCTAGGTCCTCTCCAGGTCTTAGCTTTTGAGTGAGGAACTGATGGTTACAGCCGAACGAGATGGTCAGGAAGAACGTGGTGCCTGGTTGCTTAACCTCATCTTTCAAAACTTCTCAGGAGTCTGAGTGTGGTAGGTTAAACCTGTGATCACAACTTCTCTGGAGACAGAGGTTGGGAAGATCACTGTAGGAGCCCAGCCTGGGCAAAAAGTTATGGAAACCCCATCTACTCAAATAAGCCATCTATGGTGGTTTATGCCCGTCTTCCCAGCAATGTGTTAAGTATAAGGATGATGGTCACAGTCCAGGTCCACTGAGGCAAAAAATGTGAGAGCTATATAAAAAATAACCAGAAAACAAAAGGGGCTGAAGGCATGGCTCAAGTTGTAGAGAGTCTGCCTAAAATGTATGTGGCCCTGACTAAAACTGACAGTACCACCCCAAAAAAATAATGTTCCCTAGAAAATTTCATCTCAAACTAAAATACATGAGTTTTGCAGATGCTTTGTACAACCAGACCATTTCTAAGCCAGCTGTTGGTATCTTTTTATCCCTTTCTAGCAGAGGCCACAGAGTGGATCTAACTGTACAAGAGCCTAAAACAGTGCTCAAGGGAAGGAGATTGGAACACTTGATCTGAGACGGGGGAGGGGAGGTCACAGATACTAGATGATTGGCTCCAAGGTGGAATGCCCAATATTCTGGGATCCTACATTGTTGAGGCTCCCAGAGGGAATTAGAGTAGATCTGCATATGTAATGTTTTATCTTTTTCTGGGGCCTAGCCATATTTCTAAGTGAGAAATGCATTGGTTTTTAGGCACTATAGTTAAAGACTTTGTGGGAGCTGAACACCTGTGGGTTGTAGTGATGTCCTTTTATGGCCAGCAGTTAGCTTAGAAAGGTTTTTGTATCTAAAATTTGAATCTCCTATTGGCTTTATTAAATGACTAGGGAACAAATATCATATGACCAGGAACATCTTGTGAGCTCAGCCTAAGGCACAGAATGGCACCACTTTCTTTCAAGATCTATTTTGATTTCTTTACATCTTATCTGCCAAAAACAAATCCCTTGAAGCCTCTCTAACACAGGGATCCTCCTCACTCAAACCCCCACCCATTCCCCTTACCCTCCATCACACTTAGGGCCAGTTCTCAAGGAGATACTGTCAATGATACTTGGCAGAAGTGCCCTACTCACTAATTTCATTTGAGGGAGATACCTGGAATATGGCTTCATTGGCACATGCCACTCCAGGATCTCCCAGTTTGTGTTTTAACAACTGCAAGCTGATGCTGACTTCTAACCATGCCATGTGGATTGTTTTAGTTTGTGGGCATCACCTATGCCCTGACCGTTGTATGGCTCCTGGTTTTTGCCTGCTCTGCTGTGCCTGTGTACATTTACTTCAATACCTGGACCACCTGCCAGTCTATTGCCTTTCCCAGCAAGACCTCTGCTGGTATAGGCACTCTCTGTGCTGATGCTAGAATGTATGGTGAGTTGGACATGGGTATCTTTGTTCCCCTACCAACTGTGGAAACATGTATTTTTTATTCTTTTTTTTAGATTAAGGAGGGTGGTGATCATGGGAAAAAATGTAAGATGGTGTATGCTTGGGTTCATTAACTTCCCACTGAAACTGGAGAGATTTCTTCCCAGAAAGGGAATTTAGAAGTGGTGAGAGTTTCCTTGGCTGTAGATACTGCTCTACTCTGGTCTATTTACATTCCAAAGCTCAAAGGAACTCATTTCTATGACACAATAGTTCACACCTGTTCAACACCTTTGCTTTTTCTGTAAATTGTTAGAAAAAAGGGATCCCGATTGTTGGTAGGTCCTGACCTAATAGCCTGGATGATTGCAGAGGGGGGAAGGGCTCTGAAGGAGAGCCTCTATGTGGCCCTAAAACTCCACGAGGTATACCATGGCCATCTTGCATCTTTCTTAGGTGTTCTCCCATGGAATGCTTTCCCTGGCAAGGTTTGTGGCTCCAACCTTCTGTCCATCTGCAAAACAGCTGAGGTGAGTAGGCCATATGTGCTATTTTGCAATGGAATACTTAATACCATAGGAATTTCCACCCATGGTCTTCAGTTTTAAGGATTATGGTTCCTTCTTGCTGGATTTAGAATGAGCAGATTTCCCTTCTAAAAAACATTGGCTGAGTGCCTGGGTCAATAAGCATAGATGGTTAAAATCATGCATTTTCCTTAGAGCTGAGTAGAAAGACATATTCCAAAATTCCCCTTAAAAGAGAAATGTGTAGCTTTAGATAAAGATAGAGTTTAGCGGCAAAATTCCCCAAATGAAAATGTTCACTTTTTTAGTTAAAAACTTTATCAAGAGAATGGGCTGTGCAGAGACACACATAGGGTTTATAAAACGCTTGAATTTTGGAGTTTCTTACTCTCCAAAGAGAGGTAAAACAAGTGTGTTTTAAAAAGGGAAACACTTTTTTGAGAACAGTCATTATACACAAATGAGGCAGGGGAATAAAATTAAATCCTGCAGAGGAAGGAAATAAACTTTCTTAGAAAGCAAAGTGTTGGCTTTAAGTTTTGGGACTCCAAGCACCACAGAAAGGAATGAGTTAAATATTGGGGAACATGATCTAATTTTATCAATTCTGTTCTGGGTGTTGTGGGCTAGATGTTATAGTGTACATTACAGAATGGGAAGTGAAATTTTAGAGCAAACACATGAATGGCATACATCCATTCAGAAAGCTACATTCACTATTTACAGTGAAGAATTTTTTTTCTGTCTCAGGAAATAATTCTTTTTTTTTCTGCAGTTCCAAATGACCTTCCACCTGTTTATTGCTGCATTTGTTGGGGCTGCAGCCACGCTGGTTTCCCTGGTGAGTTATCATTGAATGATCTTAGCAAATAAATGGTTCTGGGTAGTTCAGCTACAGTTAAGATGGCAAGGCAAGAAGACAAACATCTTCCAGCCTTGAATTGCCAAAGAGAAGTTAGGAAAGAGACATCAAGGTATAGATTCTATTTTCTGCTTTGAGTTGACAAGGCAGAATACCTTCATAAATTACAAAAAATAGTTTTTTAAAAAAAGGAAGTAACACTTGCCATCCTCAGTACCACACACAAAAAAAGATAAAACGTAAACCAGATGCTGGTGGCTCACACTGTAATTCTGTCTACTTCAGAAGCTGAGATCTGGAGGATTGTGGTTCTAGGTAGCTGTGGAAGAGAAGATTGCTAGACTACAAAATAACCAGCAAAAAGCTGGGCTGGAGACATAGCTCAAGTGGTACAGCACCAGTCTAGCAATCATGAGGCCCTGAGCCCAAACCCCAGGACTGCCAAAAAAAAAGAGGGAAAAAAGAAAAGGAAGTAAGAGAATGGAAGTCATGAATAATCATGTTCAATATTTGCAGAGCATAGAATATTACCAAGTACTTTGCAGTCATACTATTGTTAATTCTCAACAAAGTGTGACCAGGACAGTGACAAGAACATTACTAAACATGATTTGCTGTAGCCTAAGATTCTATATACTATAAATACGAATCCATCTTGGATACTATCTAATTGAATGGAAATATTGAAAGAACCACCTGACATTATTAGAGTTATGACTTGAATGTAATTATATGTCCAAGGTCATTCTGATAATGTTACGTTTAGTGTTAAGGCAGTATGCAGCTGACAAACCTAGGACATTAAAGGGCATGACAATTTACATGAAATCATTGAATAACCAACCAGGGAATGGACAAGGGTGAGCTTGTAGAATCCTCCCCACACTGCTGAGTCATTTATACAATGTCAACTTACAAAATACATACATTAAGCAGGGGAAATATACTGCATAGGTGGCTGCATGAACTACAACACACACTCTGTGACTCCAAGCCACTCAGGCATGTGGCTAGGACAGAACTCAGGTGTAGTTGTTCATTTTCTTGAGGAAAACTCAAGGCTGTGATTTAGGGGCATGGCTTTAGTGGTAGCAAGCCTGAGTTCAAACCCCAGTCCCACTGAAAAAATTCAGTACTAGGCTATTAGAAAGCTGTGTCTCAGTCAGGATTGCTAGTCAGATGTATAAGGAAAGCCTGTGTTGTGCTAGTTGTATTTTGTTGTTGTTGTTTGGCAGAATGGGATTTTTTCCCTTTATTGAGTTATGATTTTATTTTCATTCTTCTTCATTCTCAAAAGGATTGGAAGAGCAGGAGTTTCCTGTTCTACTCACACTCATCTTCTTTCTTCTGTTCCCTACAGCTCACCTTCATGATTGCTGCCACTTACAACTTTGCCGTCCTTAAACTCATGGGCCGAGGCACCAAGTTCTGATCTCCCATAGAATTTCCCCTTTCTCTAATAGCAAGGCTCTAACCACATAGCCTACAATGCTGCATCTCCCATCTTAATGCTGCCTTTGCCACTGACTGGCCCTCTTATTACTTGATGAGTATAACAAGAAAGAGTCTTGCAGTGATTAATGTCTCTCTGTGGACTCTCCCTCCTATGTACCTCTTTTAGTCATTTTGCTTCATAGCTGGTTCCTGCTAGAAATGGGAAATACCTGAGAAGGTCAATCCCCAGCTGCAAGTCACAAAGTAATGGAGGCTCTAATTCAGTTTCCAAGCATCTCCTGAAGACCAGGAAGTGCTTTCTTCTCAAAGGACACTTCCTCTAATGGAAACAAAGTAGGAAGAAAGATGCTAAGGTAGAAGAGAAGGAATGTCCTTGCTCCACTTGCCATCAATAGGGGACAAATATATTCTCCTTGGTGTACAAACCAGAGAAGTCACTTCTTTCTCTATTACCACTGAAGATAAAAGGAAATAAAATGAATGCTAGCAAAACAGTAAGAATGTTTGCCCAAGTTTGCCTATTGCAACTGGGAGAAGGGGGTCGAAGCAAGGATCTTTCACCCTTAGAAAGAGAGCACTGACCCCCTGTGGCAATGAACTATTTAAGCCCTAACTCAGCCAACCTTACTTATAGCATAAGGGAAGGTAGTATCTATGTAGACTAAGGGGGTTATCTGACCTTACACCTCATTAGGAAGAGAAACAGGGTAGTGTCAACATCTTCTTATCCCCTGCTCCTGGATAACAGCTACCATGACAATATTATGGTTTCTAAGGAGCTGAGAATAGAAAGAAACTAGCTCATAAGAAAGAAGAGTGGCCTAAGGAGCAGCAGTGTTGGTGGCTAACAGTGTAACTTGAGCTGGCCATTTGGTAGAGTCTGGATAGATAACACTTTGAATAGCATGTCTTTTTTTCTGATAATTACTTGTGTACTCTGGTCTCTGTCATATCTTCACAATGGTGCTCTTTTCCTGGGGTTTATCCATTCAGTCACAGTAGGTGATTTGAAGATCTTGATTTGTTTCAATTAATGCACATCTCACATTTTCCAACTTGTTTCTCACTTGTTTGGGATTGTATCAGAAAGGTCTGCAGAATGATTCTTTGATTATAATTATTTTTTAAAAAGAAGGAAATTGGACAATAAGCATCACAAATGATGTTTAAAAGCCACTAGTTCCAAGAATCTGAGACTTTTTTTGCAAGTATTCTGCCCTTTGCAGAAACAGATTTGATGAATTTGAACCTCAATTTGAATAACCCATTTGGTCATTTTTTTCTGCCTACTGAAAGATGATTTTGCTTAGTGATGTTCTCTTTGCATGTTAAAAGTTAGGCTTAACATGAAGGTTACTTTCTCCTGGTATAGATCACATAACAATGCCCCCAGCGGTCAGCTATAAAGGATCAAAAGAACTTGTAACCTGGATAGTTCCCAGATTTCAGTGTTTTTCTGTTTTTGTTAACTTTGGGGTTTTAAAAAAATCCAATTGGTTTTTAGTGAAGGCAAGATTTTTACTATAGCTCTTTTGTTGCAAAGAATTGTTTTGTTCTTTCCTCCCAACGTGGTTTCAGCAAAGTTTAAGGAGATATAAGATCTTCAAGATAAGACACTTGATACTTGTTTTCAGACCAGTATACAAGATAAGCTTCCTGGCTGCCCAGAGCAAAGAGAGGAAAAAGTTCTGTAAGAAACCAATCAAGATCAAGGAAGTGAAGTAATCCATACCTTGTGTTTTGTTTTTATTCAATAACAACGAATAACCAACCCTTCCCTGAAAACCTTACATGCATCCATACACACATGTACACACACAAAGAAAGTTAATCAACTGAAAGTGTTTCCTTCATTTCTGATATAGAATTTTGATTTTAACACACATAAAGAATAAACTTTTAGAAACTTATCTTACAAAATGTATTTTATAAAATTAAGGAAAATAAAATTAAGAATGTTCTCAATCAAACGTTGTGTCCTTTGAATGAATTGTTCTGTTTGACCTCTCAACAAGAATTTAAGGATTATATGAGAGATTATTTTTCAGGTCATTTCAAGTCATTCTAACACTACTTCTATGAAACAGAGTAGATAAATAAATCACTTCCATCTCTGTAGTTGGAGACACTAAGAAGTAGAAGTAAAGTAAGCTACTCCCAAAACTCAAATAAGTACATTCTGAATGTGTACTAGAACTGAGGTCTTGATGCCAAATCATTGCCTAATTAAAGTTTCATTTTGTCTTTGAATTTGGATTTCAAAGTATTCTGCTCATTCAGAATCAAATATGGTTACTTTGTCAGGGTAGTGGCACCATTGCTCCTAGTATGTTTAAGACAAAATTATTCTTCCTTTCCTTTAAATTGTTTGGATATTCTCATAACAATATATTGATACTTCATGCATGACTAATAATTATGCTTACCTGAAAAGTACCAGAAGAAAGGTTTGAAGTTCACTGTTTATAGGGCAGAACACACGTGGCAAGAACAATGTAAATTACTGCTGTGGTAGGGCAGTATTGAATTTAATGACACCTACTTTTTTGTGGATGGCTTAGCTCACCAGCCCACATGATAGAGCATTAAAGGCGTATCACAATCCCAGGTTAGAATTTGGTATTCTTGGACAACACTCTGATGACTATTTTAAAGCTAACCGTCAGTGACTCATACTTTAATCCTAGCTAATCAGGAGCCTGAGATCTGAGAATCAAGGTTCAAAGCTGGCCCAAGCAGAAAAGTCTGAGAATTTTACTTCCAATTAACCAGCAAAATGCTGGAAGTGGAGTGGTGATTCAAGTGGTAAAGTGCAGACCATGAGCAGAAAAGCTGTATGAAGTCTTAAGGCCCTAAGTTCAAGCCCCAGTACTGGCATTAAAAAAAAAAAACTAAATTAGCTATAGATTTATGGTCCCACAACTGTATCTTGCAAGTAACATGATAAGAAGAATAAGGAGAAAGCTGGAGGTGACAAGTCAGTCAAGTCAGTTGAAAAGACCCATTCAGAAACTACTTTGAGTTGTGAGCGTCGATTTCTGCATCAGCACAATTAATATTCTGCAAGTTAGTCTGGTTGAATGACTTTAAGACAAAAATTTTAAAAATGACAAAGCCTTATTTTTAGACCCTGGCAAACAAGGACACAGCACCATATTTTGTAAAATTAATTCAGGGTGGTACAGAGTGAATGTATTTTTGCCTCAGAGGAGTGAACGCCAGTTCCCAAGAAAGCTGTGTTGTCCATCTGCCCTTATTTGGTTCTGCCCTCTGGGAAGATCTATAGATGGAGTTTCTAGGCTCTCAGAAGCTGAGAGCATCTCATCTATCAATTGAGCCCATTGTTCTTAGCTCTCCCACACACCATAAACCTCCTTTCTCTTAAGTGAAAGAGCTCTCTTTGTGTTTAGATCAGCCAAAGATCAAGATGCAGCAGTACAAACAAGAAATATTTTCTTACAGCATCAGTTGCATGGCTTTTCCTATCTTCAGGGTCAGAACTGAGTGCAGCTACGCAGTGTGGGGAAGCTGCCTGTACCTTTGTCCAAAGAAACATTCATTCATTCCTTCTATCTATTGAACCCTTCTCAGCTTTGTGCTAAATCCTTGGAGTTGAGGGCATGTGATTGATGAAAATATGATCTTATGCTCAAGGATTTCTCTCACCTTTCCACCACAGCAGAGAAGTCTTCCAGGGTGGACTGAAGAGGAGGTAGAAAGCATACAAAGCACAGTTAGACTGGCTGACGGTCATGGGTGTCTGATTTCTCCCCTCAGAGTGTGGGAGATACAGTGGTAAAGGGTCATGACTTCACATGTCCCTTGTTTTCTACAGCCCTGATAAAAACAAAACTTCAATTTAGAGTCCAAAAAATTTGTGACTTGTTCTCTATGTCTCACCCTGCCTCTATCTTACATGTGACAGTATTTATGCACACAGTGGTACAATGCATGTGCTTGCTTACACCCACACAGTCATTTGAGAAGTCAGAAGGCACAAGGATCAGGATTTATGTAAACAAGCTATTCAGCCTGCACTTTTCTCTTAATCAAGGCTAAATCTGAGAAGCAAAGGAAGAAGTCCCAAAAGGAAAAAATGTCACATAAAAGATGTAAAAATACAAGTGTGTATCTAGACAAAGAATCCTGATGTGCTATGATATTAAGGGATGGAAAAGTTTAATAGCCCTGAATTGTTTCATTTACTAATATGGAAAGTAATTCAACTCTGGTTCTGGAGTAACTGGTCTCATTAATATATTTATTTTGCAGAACTCTTTCAGATGTCACATGGGTTAACTACAAATGCTGAACTCCAAGGGTTGCAATATTGAACGCAAACATTTGAAACTTTATAGTAAGCTAGACCCAAAGAAACATAGATCCCATGGCTTCCCTCATTGGTAATGAATAGTATATCTCTAGTGTATGTCTACCAAGTGAACAGAATAGCTCAATAGCTATGTACATACAACCATATAAGATGATGCTAAGTGAAATGAACACCAAGACATGGAAATGAGATTTTTCTTTGTTGTTGTTTTTCATGTTGTTTTTCTTTGTGTTTTTCCCTGTTTTAGTCCCTGTTGTCACTGTATTTGATTTTGATACCCTGGGTATTGTATACATGTTTATCTGAATTAGGGAAGGGAAGGGGAACAACAAAATGGTGAGACAAAGGACAAAGGGGGAACCAGTGGAACAACGAGACACAGACAATATGTTGAAAATGAACTGTACAACTCGGGGCAGGAGGATTGGGGAGAGGGAAAGTTGGAGAAAGATGAGGGAAGGGATAACAAGTTCGACAAGAAATGTACTCACGGGATGGGAATGTGGCTTAGTGGTAGAGTGCTTTGCCTAGCATGCATGAAGCCCTGGATTGGATTCTTCAGTACCACATTAAGAGAAAAAGCCAGAAGTGGCACTCAGGCTCAAGTGGTAGAGTGTTAGCCTTGAGCAAAAAGAAGCTCAAAGCAGTGCCCAGGCCCTGAGTTCAAACTCCAGGACTGGAAAAAAAAAGAAAAAGAAATGTATTCATTACCTTACATATGTAACTGTTGCCCCTCTGTACATCACCTTGACAATTAAATTTTAAAAAAGCAATTTTATAGATGCTTCAGTTCTAATAGATGATAAATTCACCTGCAGAGGAACATTATTTTAAAAAGGAAAATGTAAGTTTTGCTTACAATAACAGAAATGTGAGGATAAGCATAAGAATTTTTCTATATGTCCATGACATCATTACAAGCTAGACGTCATCTTAGTAAAAAATTGGCTCAACTAATTATTGTTAGAAAGCCAATTTTTTAAAAGTGCATTCATTGTGAGTAGATGTTCCCACCTTCTTTTCTGGGGAATGTATAAATCTGTAGAGCAAATACTTCAGTATATTCTGTAGCCAGTTTATCTGGGAGGATACAAGTAAATTACATTTCTCAATGGTAGGTGGTTTATGGGTATTGAATGAATTTGCATATGTTGTTTGCTTTTATAGATAAAATTCAGCCACTCAGTATTTTTAGGCTAATTTTTTGTTGGTTATAGGGTATGAATTCAAGGCTTAGGTGCTGTCCCTAAGCTCTTTTGGTCAAGCTAGTGATCTACCACTTTGAGCCACAGCTCCACTTCTGTTTTTTTGTGGTTAACTAGAAATAAGAGTCTCATAGATTTTCTCTTATTGGCAGGCACCAGTGGCTCATGCCTGTATATAGTCCTAGCTATTCAGGAGGCTGAGAATCCTGGTTCAAAGCCAACCTGGGAAGTAAAGTCCATGAGACTTTTAACCTCCAATTAACCACCACAAAGCCAGAAGTAGGGCAAAATAGCTCAGGGTCAGTGACCACACCCTGAGTTCAAGCCTCGCCCCCCCACACTCTGCAAGAAAAGTGTCCTGTTGCTTTTGAATCTTGACTTTTGGGTAAATCAATGTCACAGAGTTTTCAGCAATATAAGATTACCAAAGCCTCAAAATATCTGTTTTCAAAGGACCTCTATGACATATTTCTTTTAAAAGATACTTTCTTGTTTATTGTTTAAAAGACATCTTTTGGAGTCTTTATCTCCCATTGCCTGTTGTGGGGAGGAAAAAATGTTTCTCTTTTCCAGTTCTCCCTATTTGTTATACTAAAACGAATTCTTGATATAATTGTAGGGAAAAAAGAGATGTCTTTCTTTGACAAAAGTGAGGTCACCCGAGTCCATCTTTATATTTGATATTAATAAAACATTTTTCTTACATTAAAATTAAAAATAATGTAAATACTAATTCTAATGGATCATGTTACAAACCCCATCACACCTTGGCATACTATGCAGCAGCTTTTCCAAACCAGTTAGAGTATGGAAATCTCTTTCTAACATAGTAACTTCCCTCAGGCCTCTACCACAACAGTGGGTATACTTACAGTATCCATTGGTTGAGAAAGCTTTTTTTTGGGGGGGGGTCCGGTCGTGGGGTCTGAACTCTGGGCCTGGGCGCTGTCCCTCAGCTCTTCAGCTCAAGGCTAGCGCTCTACCACTTGAGCCACAGCGCCACTTCTGGCTTTTTTATTTTTTTGCTTATGTGGTGCTGAGGAATTGAACCCAGGGCCTCAGGCATGCAAGGCAAGCACTCTATCACTGAACCACCTTCCCAGCCCCTGAGAAAACATTTTTACTCTACCATGCATTCAATAAAACTCTGTGGAACTTGTTCTTATGGAATATTTCAAACATGTACAAAATAACAAGAATCCTATAATGGGCCACATGGAACCAATTACTAAGCTTCAGTGATGATCAATATTCAAAAACACTTTAACATGAGTTTATATTTTATTGATTTCTGTACACATGAAGATGCATCATTCTACTGAGAATCACTGGTATTCAGTTGTATCTGGAAACCCCTTGCAGAAATGCCTTAATTTCATACCCTAGCCACAAGAGGACTAAAGACCAAATTTGAGGATCCAGTCTCTTTTAG